TTTCTTATTATTATCAAGTAGTTTGGCCATTTAAAATAGAAGTTTCAGTCTCCAACATTTAACCACTCAGATATGAGAAAATGTGTACGTGCCATATTTGCATTGTTGAAAATCAAATCACATAGCAAGGAAAACGTTTTTAAGCACTGGATTTCCAGTGCTTTGTTCAGTGCAGGACTGGATTTTGCAAAGCAATTACATTCTCATTCATTGTGAAAGCATCACTGAGGATGTGGGGAATGGAGAAAGTATGTGCATACGTTTAGAAAACATTTAGTGGGTAGAAGCACGTACTGACAGCAACCTGTCATCACAGAAAAGGAAGCAAATTCAGAACATTTGTGTTTTTGTTTAAACCAAAGATGCAAAATACATCTCAATGTCCAACAATTCTGTAGCACTTTGCTATGAGCAATGCAGAGGATGTTTTATGCGACAAAAGAATTTCAGTCTCTTCTTGCCTCGTTGCAAGACCTACATTGTAGGTTCTGTGCATCAGTCTCCTCTGTTCCGTGGAAAGGGGCAATCCTGCAGGTTGGGATGATAATAAGTGAGCAAGTGAGAGGGTCATTGTCAAGCCCCCGGCTAGGAAGGGCTCCCATTTGTAATAAACTGGAAACAATGACCACAAAAATCTCTCCCATCTCACATACTTCTCTCAGTCATCACAGTCCCATGGCACACAGTTCCACACATCAAAAGATGGAGCTCAATGCCCCTCCCCTTGAGCCACTCAGTTTTCGGACAGCAGTACCACAGGGCATGTTTCAAGCTGGGGGTCAGTAGACCATGCATGCTTTTGCATTCTCTTTTCATAGTCCACCAATCAGATCCCTGATTCCTCCAGAGCTCTGGATTTATTGGGGATTCATATCTTTGTCCAGCATTAGGGTGATTCTGATCTAAAAGGTCATCTGATGACCTGCAGGAAACACTTGGAGTCTCAACTCCAGGCACATTATGTGACACTGGTGCTGGTGGCTCACACTTCTAATCCTAGCTGCTCAGGAGGCTGAGATTTGAGCATCATGGTTCAAAGCTAGCCCAGGCAGCAAAGGACATGCAACTCTTAGCTCCAACAAACTACTCAGAAAAAGCCAGAAGTGGTATTGTGGCTCAAGTGGTAGAGCGCTAGCCTTGAGCAAAGGAAACTCAGGGAAAGCACTCAGGCCCTGAGTTCAAGTCCCAGGACCAGCACAAAAAGAAAAGAAAAAGAAAACACATGTGAAGAAAACACAGTTTTGCTCCAAGCAGCTTAAAATGTGTGCCAACTTTGTGGGATCTCAAGTATGAACCTAGCTCTGCCTTTGGCTTTTGTTAGGTTTGGGATCTTGGACAACTACCTTATTTTCTCAAAGTTTCTGTTTTCCTATCTATAAAGTCCACTTGAGATAAGCTGTGCATACTTAGCAAAAAGAACCTGATGTACAGTAAATGTTCAAGTATGTATTATTCATTTTATTATGGTATTGTCTTCTTAAGCATCTACCTCTCTCAAAGGGCTAACCTGGATTTCTGGACATCTCCATATCCTTCCTTGGTAAGTTGTGTTAGATGCAGACAGAATCTGTAATGAGCTACACCATGGGTCCCTACCCCCAAGATTCCCTCTTAACCAGTGTGTGACCTTGAGCTAATTACTCCATTTTTGGAATCTGCGCAGCGGGGCAAAGGATATGGTGCCTGTTGCTATGGTTCCTGTGACAGCAACACAGCACATCCTGGCGAGAACATAGGGTGGACTGGAGCTGCTCACCTCATTGGCTGCCAAAGCCGAAGAGGAACGGGTCAGGATGCTAATGAGCAGAGGGCGCCCATCAGGCCCCAGTTCTTAGAGTCTCCACCACTTCCCAATAGTGCCAAGCTAACCGTCTGGAGTTTACCCAGGGAAGCTAGCAGGGTTGCCTTGTGTTCTATGAAACAAGTTACGGGGAGAAATGTCAACAGCGAGAAGCTTGCAATGTGCTATTTTACTAGGAATAACATGTTCTTTCTGCTGGGCGCCTGTGGCTCAAGCTTATAATCCTAGCTACTCAGGGAGGCTGGGATCTGAGGATTGAGGTTCGAAGCCAGCATGGGCAGGAAAGTCTGTGAGATTCTTCTCTCCAATTACTCACAGAAAAAACTGGAAGTGGCGCTGTGACTCAGGTGGTAGAGTACCACCCTTGAGCAAAAGGGAGCTTAAGGACAACGCCCAAGCCTAGAGTTTGAGAGAAAAAAAATGTTCCTTCTCATATTTATAACTTACCCTCGTAGTAGCAAAGCCATGGAGAAAGAGATGGAAATGGTCAGGGATGAGACGGCTACTTGGCCTCAAAGAGTAGAGTCCCCATAACCCTTGAAACTAAAAGGACAATAAAAATCCTATAACACTAAGTGAGGGGGTCATGCCTGTAATCCTAGCTATTAGGGACGTTGAGATCAGGAAGATGGTGGTCTAAGTCAACCTCAGGTAACAGCTCTCAAAAGCTCATCTCAACAGACAAAGCTGGGCAAATGGATGCTTGCTTGTCATTCCAGCTAACCAGGAAGTGTAAACAGGAGAATCCATGTCCAGAGAAATCCAGGCATAAATCTAAGACCCTAATCACAAAATAACTAAACTAAAAATGGCTGAGGAAATGGTTCAAGAGGTAGAGCACCTGATTGGCTAGAAGCACTATGTGAGACTCTACTGGCTTTTTCTCTAGTGTTGCAAGATTTTCAGCTGGATCAACTTTGGAGTAATCTGAAGATGTGCAGAGGTACCTCACAATGCTTGCTAACTTTTCCTCTTTATAGTCCCACTTAACTGATTATAAGTCTTACAACAGAGGAGATTTTAAGGAATTCCTGGAAGAAGTCCAGATAAACAACAAATCCCTGAAAAGAAAACTAGAGACTGAAATTAGCAGAAAAAAATGTTCTTCTCTTGCTTTGTTCGTGGTGACTTTACTCTGTTCTTCTAAATAATTATATGAAATCCTTTAGGATTTCAAGAACTCCTGACAATTCTTTGAGGAAACACTTGTTTGGAGCATCATTAACAAAGGAGAAATCCTTTATCAGCCCCCTAGTTATCTCCCTAGATAGCTCTTGAGAGGCTAGATTTTTCTTTTTATCTCAATCCAGAAAAAAATACTGACTGGGAGTTAGGTGGACAAAATGATTTTTGGAACAACTTATATATTCAGAACAAGACTGTGTGGAATAAAGGAATGGAATCCAAACGGAAATAAAACCAAGGAACCTTGCAAGCCCTCTGAGAAATATACACTACACTTTATAAAAGAGGCCTGGTGGGCAAAATACCTCCTGGCATTGGGAGCCAACCCTACTCCTGGATACACATGTGCTAATAAAGACATACCAGATGTGGGAAGCATAACTTCCGAGTTTTTCCTGATAAAATATCTGAATGCTGACTTCCAAGATATAGACACAATTGTTGCCCTCATGGATGGAAATAAAAACTCCAATATGTGGTCTTGATTATCATGGTGGAGTAGGAAACTGACAAATTAAGACACCCTATTTCTGCCAAGATGACTGCACTTTCTTTTCCTTCCTCCTTTAAAAAAAAATAAAGTATTTTTCCATTCACTTTTCCAGCTGATGGATAGATAAAAATGCCATTTAGATTTCCAAGACCACTTGGCAGGAGAGGTTTATTGTAAGGGTTGAATGTATTAAAGATTGATTTGAACTCATTTTTATGAACTAGGAAGAGGAGAAGTAAAATTTCCACCTATATGAGATATATGAGATTTGGAGATTAAAGGAACACATAATAACCTGTGAACTAGTGGAAGTTACTGGTTGCCTTTACTTAGCTCTCTTTTGAGAATACACAAGTGGGTGGCTAATCCCGTAGTTATGGAGGTCTGAGATCATGTGGTCACCATGTCCCTCATTGGGGGGACTAGAGTTTGGGGATCACAGTGTGGACTAGAGTCAGAAAGGACAACTACTTGGTGAAATCCATGGTTAGTTTGTGACCACATTTACCACAGCATTGTCAATCATTCTTTCCTTCAGACTTTCCTAGTTTTACAAGTACAGTGTAGTATTGAAAATATGCTATGTAAACTCAGAATCAAAGTGGAATAACTCACTCAGGTCAAACACTATGAAAATGGAGTTGGAGGCTATAAAGGGGATAGGAACATGCCTGGGGGAGCTTGGATTACAAATGTAAATCCAGGAATGTGACTTTCTGAGAGACAATGTTAAAAAGTATCTTTCCTAACAAGGATACAAGTTGACTCATTGTAACAGTGAGATGTACAAGGCACTATGTTGAAAATGAAGGTTACAGCTATGGGGGGGGGGGGGGGAGGTTGAGGAGGTGGGGAGGGAAGGGATGGGAGGGGAAATACAAAGGAAGAAGTAACAATCCTTGATAGGAAATGTACTTATTACCTTACTTGTGTAACTGTAACCCCTCTGTACAGTATCTTTACAATTAAAAATTTAAAGTATCTTTCCTTTATGTTTTTCAGCTATTTTAACTGACAGTAAAGTCAGTCAGTCATACTACTAAGAAAAATGAACATTAGGGCTGGGAAGTTGGCTCAGTGGTAGAGCGCTTGCCTTGCACGCCTGAGGCCCTGGGTTCCATTCCTCATCACCACATAAGCAAAAAGAAAAAAGCCAGAAGTGGCGCTGTGGCTCAAGTGGTAGAGTGCTAGCCTTGAGCTGAAGAGCTGAGGGACAGCGCCCAGGCCCAGAGTTCAGGCCCCATGACCGGACCTCCCCCGCAAAAAAAAAAAAAAAAGAAAGAAAGAAAAATGAGCATTAGAGACATAGTTGGAGAAGACGGTTCAGTATTTAAATGGACTAAGAATGCTTTATTATTTCCTCACTAAAAAGTATTCAATACAGACTCATGCCGTTTGAATTTCACTGTGTATCACAGTGTGAAGGGCTGAATACTGTACCCCTGAAAGGTACCTATAGTTTCCCTCCTCTACTGGGAACTTTTTCACAAGGAGGAAAGATTATAGAAGGTATCGTATAAATAAGAAGCCAAAAAATTAATTTTATTGAATAAAGGAATTTGTCCACAGCTCACACAGATCGTAAGAACACTTCAGATGATAAGAGCTGAAAGATGATTAACTGGAAGGCAAAAAAGAAGCAGTTTACATTTTCAATATAGAAAAAAAAAATTTAATTGTTACAGATGTCTTGTAAAATTCCCAGAAACAAGTTCTAGCCAAGTTTACTGTTTAGTGATTTTTTTTTTCCCCTTCTGTTTCTTAAGGGAAGAAAGTGACATTCTATATATTACTGGTTAGAACTAATAGGATAGCTTGAAAAAAAATCATGAGACAGAAGCATAAATATAATATAAAAAGACAAGGTTTAAAAATCGTATTATAAGAATATTAAGTAGAATAAGTGGAAAAGATACATTAAAACAAGCAGTGGGTTACATAGTTCAAAACAGAGCTTGTAAGGCATAAACAACATAATAGCAAGTTAAGGAAGAAGATAAGTCTGTTTTAGAAACACATCCAGACACACATAACTACAAAGAAATGCCACCAGTGACTCTATGATTCCTGTGGTACTCAGTGAAGTGTCATAGGTGGGCGACAGGCTAGCAGTCTAAGCCTTCTCTAAGGACTTATAGTACTCCGTCAACACAGTCCAAGCCTTGGGAGCCATGAAGCCTTCTGGAGGTTTCTGGCCTTCCCGAGCAAGTTTGCGCATTCGTGTTCCTGAGATGAATTCAAAATCTTCATGGCTGAAGAGAGAAAATAAAATGAAAATTATTTCACAGCTTGAGGAAGTTTACTGTGGGATTTTTTTAAAAAGCATTTGTTCTAGAGCTAGGAAATGTGGCTTAGTGGTAGAGTGCTTGCCTAGCATGCATGAAGCCCTGGGTTCCATTCCTCAGTGCCACATAAACAGAAAAGGCCAGAAGCGGCTCTAGTGGTAGAGTGCTAGGCTTGAGCACAAAGTGGCTCAGGGATAGAGACCAGGCCCTGAGTTCAAGCCCCAGGACTGTCAAAAACAACAACAACAAAAGTACTTTTTCTCTCTGTGCTTATTGGATTATTATACTAGTTCAATGATAAAACATATCCATCCGATGTCAAATTTGTCATTAAGCAAAATATCACATTATTGAATATTATCATCTTAGAACTAGGAAAAAATTCCTATGGAAAATTTTTTTATTGAGTTCATTGCAGATTCTTATAAAATTGGAAGCTACAAAGTGAAATAAAAATATGACCAATATTAAAGAAGGAAGGGAGTCTAAACTACATGGGCCAAAGAAAATAAATGTCAAGGATGAGAGAAAGGAGGGAAGTTACAGAAAAGGAAATGAAAAGGGGGGGGGGGGGGAAAGCCAAGAAGCAGAACTGGGAAGAACACAGGGAGGAGAAGGAAGAAGAAGAGTGAGGATCTTCACTGGTGGTTAAGGCTGGATGGGCTCAACCTTCTCAGCACAGAGATCAGGCTGCCTTGCAAGAATAACACAACAAGAACCTGCGTGGGAATCCATCGGTCACATCTTTAGGCCAGAGATGCTAAACCTCAGGGCTGGGCTGGGTAAGGAAAGGCTTAGGACCTGGAAGCTTCCTGGAGAGATAAATTCTAAACTTTTAGTTTCAGAAATAGAAAAGCCATGTGACACACATCAAGTGCTTGCAGGCTAGCCAGGTACTTGCAGGCTAGCCAGGTACCGGTGGCTCACACCTGTAATCCTAGCTACTCATGAAGCTGAGATCTGAGGATGGTGGTTCAAAGCCAGCCCGGGCAGGAACATCCGTGAGACCAGAAGGCCAGAAGTGGTGTTGTGGCTCAAGTGGCAGAGCACTAGCCTTGAGGCTGAAGAGCTCTATGTGTCCAGAGCTCCGTGTCCAGGCCCGGAGTTCAAGCCCCATGACTGACAAAAAAAAAAAAAGGAAGAATTAAGCAGGCAAGCAGGCAAACAGGCAAGCAGCTTGCTGGACAACTCTGCCTGAATTTTTTGATTAAAGGAATGAAGCCAAACCAATTTAAGTCCTTTCTTTCCCTCAGAATGCCAAACTATCTGAAATCCAGAAGGTTGCCTGCATTCCTCCTGAAATTGCTTTTCTAAACCAAGGTCCCTGGGTACCTCTTTTCCTGAAGCTATTTCACACTCCATCTGCCCCGCATGCCACAGTATTTCTTCACCAAATGACATGAGAGTTTGTTTCCACATGGTACTGGTTTCACTCCACCCTGCTACACAAAACACATTTCCTTCTGCCTCTCTCTTGTGTGTCCTTCCATCTCTGTTACGTAAGGACATTGGATCAGAAGCCAGGTTCCATGTCTTGATACAAGCACCAGTATGCTCTATAATTAGCATTCTCTAATTTTCACACGTAACAGTACGTCTTTACATGGTCATCATTTTGCAGAAATAATTCAACCAAATAAAAGCTAAGAAATCTCTGGTATGATTTCAAATTAGCCCTAAAACATTACCTATGAGTAATCAGGAATTTGCCAGAAGCTGAAAGGGCTACTAAATAAAGGACTTTAGGCTTTCTCTACAAAGCAATTCTAATTAGGATCATTTCATTGCTCTGGTTAACCAATCCTGCCAGGCACCTGGAAAAAGAAACACGGGCATGTTTGGGTTTTTTCCTTTTTCAAAACCACTTGGTTACAGCTTCTTATAATCTACAGCAGACACAATGCAAGCTCTTAAAAAACAAAGGGGAAAGGGTTAGAACAGCAGAGAGGGAAAAATAGAACATGACAGCTAGCAGCCTACGTGGAACCCTTAATAAACACACTAACCACATGTGGCCAGCATCTTGATGAACTCCACACTGCAATGACTCTTGGCCACTTGCTGACGATTTTAAATCTTTACAACCATCTGCTGTCCCTCCATCCACATATGTGACCATCAGAGCCACAAGCTCAAGCTGTTCACACGGACAAGAGCAGGGTCAGCAGATGGCCCTGCAGTTGTAGCTTTTGAAGGTTCATATTCAATTAGCCCAGCTTCTTAAAGATCTTAACTAGACGATAAGTAATTCAAGGAAGTAAGTCAAAGGAACGTCTCCTGTGACAGAAACTAAAACCAATGGAGATAACTGATAGATGAATCAAATTAATCATTTGGGATTCTAGTTACCCGTTCACTTAATGTGAAGGAAGGTTATTTATAATGTATTAAAACATTAATTTCGTTGTTTGTGCTAGGGGGAAAACACAAGGCCTCATGCACACTAGTCACTCACCTTATCCCAGCCCTTCTTAAGTCTGAGATTTAAAATGATCTCTTTGAAACCAGATGAAGTTATTTACAGCTTTCTTTCAGAGATTTAAAAAATAATAATAAGCACTGTTTGGATTCATATATGGCAATTTTGACAATTATTATTTTTTAACTTAGACCAATTGAAAGTATATGAAAAATGTGATGACGTAGAATCTACTTAACCAAATTCTATGACTTGTCATGCCTACCAGCACCTCTGTTTTATAAAGGCTACTGAACAGCTTCTATTAGATAGTTAGTCAATAACGAAGTCCTATGGTTTCCCTAAAGTGACCACCCCAAACTGACTCAACATCCTTCACCACAAATTGTCATGAAATCTACAACCTATCATACAGTAACACAGGGGTTTTAAACTGAATGGCAATGGGCAGGTCTAAGAGGATCCATAAATATTCTATGTATAAAATTTAGAACGTCTGTGCTTTCAGACACTGGGCACCATGCTGGGCACTGGTGGCTCACACCTATAATCCTAGCTACTCAGGAAGCTAAGATCTGAGGATCACTGTTCAAAGCCAGCCAAGGCAGGACAGTCCATGAGACTCTTATCTCCAATTAAATAACAGAAAGTCAGAAGTGGCACTGTGGCTCAAGTGGTAGAGCACCAGCCCTGAGCATAAAGGAGCTCAGGGATGGCACCTAGGCCCTAGGCCCTATGCCCAACAAAAATTTTTTTAAAGCCTATATCATTATATATCTTCTAGAACAAAGCCTTTGATTATTCAAGAATGGACCTTTTCTTTTAAAAAGCTAATCTCAAAAGCTTTCAGATGTCCAATCGTCTAATTCTTAGTCCTTGCTACGAGATAAATGGCTAAGTTTGGTTGTGTTACATTCTCCTCTCATCAGACTCCATGGTCTATTGGGAGAAGCGCAGTATTGCTCTCGGTGTTACTTCCTGTGTACTGCTTTTAACTAAAGGCAAAATATGTATGCTATGATCTGGGTCTAAAGTGCTTCTCAAAGGCCCATGGAGGCATGGTTCTCTGCTTGGCATCAGTGGAAAGTGGTGGAAACCTCTGGCAGGTAGGACCTAGTAGGAAGTTTTAAAGGTATCACAGTCAACAAGCCATGGGCTGAAACCTCTAACACCTGAGCCAAAATAAACTTTTCATCTTTTGAAGTTGATTATCTCAGGAATTTTGTTACAGTAATGAAAATTGACTAATACATTCCTAGAGTTTTAGAAGATGATAGTCCAAAGATTTTAATTATCAAGAGTTAGACCAGAACTCATGTACTGAATTCTAGTGAACAAGGACATGGCTTTAATTGTATTCATTAATTTCCTTTACATTTGTTTCCAGGATTTCTGTGTTCATCATTTGCTTTCTGTTATTTAGACATGTTTATTATATTGTTTAGACTATCACTGTTTATTCAAAATCCAGCACCTCTAACATGCTCAAAATGCCCAGGTTAGTTATAACTATAATTGCAAAAGAATCCATGGAGATTAAAAAAGAATCTATTTACCCTACAGAATGACAAACTAACCAAGAAGACCCTCAGTCTCGAAGTAGGCCAATCTAAGAAAATAATTTTTTGGGGGGGTCCAGTAGTGGGGCCTGAACTCTGGGCCTGGGTGCTGTCCCTCAGCTCTTCAGCTCAAGGCTAGCGCTCTACCACTTGAGCCACAGCGCCACTTCCCTTCCGGCTTTTTTTCTTTTTGCTCATGTGGTGCTGGGGAATCGAACCCAGGGCCTCGAGCATGCAAGGCAAGCGCTCTACCACTGAGCCACCTTCCCAGCCCCATCCAAAAATTCTTAACAATGATGACTTTACCATCCTATGCTGCCCCCACCAGGGAAACAGCCTATCATGTACAGCACAGCCTCCCCAGTGCAGAGAATTATTTTTATCCAAATGCCAATAATGCATGGTTGATAAATGCTGCTAAATGGCATGCTAAAAAAAAGTTGGTTTGTATTTTTATATGAATCCCACTCTTGCCTGAAAAAGATACAGAAAATCCCAAAGTCACAGGAAAAAAAGAAAAACAGAAGAAAAGGCATGAAGGTGTGAGACACAGAACTCACAGCAAGAACTCTTTACAGTAAGCAGGAAGGTCAATAATGGGGCATACTATACTTCACACCTGAGGGAGATCACAGTCAGATCTCAACAGAGCGGCATCTGCTGGCATGGACAAAGGGAACTCCACTCCATGTTTTCAGGGGAAAGGGAGACTAGCTAAGCAAATACTACCCACACTCAGTGATGCCTGAGGACCTGAGTGTACCATAAGGAAGCCATTTTTGTAGCGTGGGTGAAGCCTTCGCAAGGTTCATCATTCAACACTGTCCTGCACGTGACAGCAACGACCTCCAACGGTGTCATACCAGACCCTGCTCTGGAGCCAGTGGACCCCCTCACAAAGAACTTCACATCCCACGGAAAACGTGCTCATGAAAATTAAAGGCGTAAATTATAAAGTAGGACACAAATTCTCTTATAAACTCAACTGT